TACTTTTTTATTTTCAAAGAATGTCTTAAGTTCTATAATAATTGTTTCATAAACTTCTGGTAAATAATATCTGCATACGCCATTTGCGGATGGTACTGCACCACCTTCATGAAGGTTATTCTTAATCCAATTATGAAGTTTGTCAACTTTTTCAAGAGGGATATTCGCCTCAACAAAAGCTCTTACAAGTGATTTTATGGCATCTTTTCTTGACTCAGAAGCTTGTACAAGTGTTGAAAGTGTTTGTTGTCATGTTCAAACTACTGTTCGTTCTGCTGCAGCTTTATTTTTGGTATGATTATTTGATCCAATATGTGAAACTATAGTTGGCCGAATATTATAGTCAACACTATATTGACAGAATCAGCACATTAACTTATTACTATCCTTTACAAAATCCTCTTTAAATTCTAATGCTCGACTGTCTAATGAAACTCGCTTTGGACCCATAATTAAAATTTGAAAAAAATAAATCACATTTATGTAAACTTTTATATTATTATTTAATTTATTATTCTTCGCTAAACAAAATATTATAATGATTTCATTACATATATTAAAATGTCATCATAACTGTTCGAAAACTAATTTAATATACTCAAAAAATATATCATAACTAATTTAATATACTCAAAAAATATATCACATCAAATCGCAGTAAACCGCTTTTTGTGATTTGCTTCGATCACAGCAAATCACAAAATCCACACGTCCCTGGATTGACCCCGAAACCAACTAAATCCGAAATTTCGGGTTGAATCCGGAGTCAATTCGAAGTATTTAATAGATAAATATCTTAGCATGGTCAACTTGGAATTTGTATATTAGTGCAATATGAAAGAAAAAGTTGGATCGAGTCTCAAAATTAGGCTTAATCCGGGCAATCCGAAACTTTTGGCCCAACCCGGTTTTTCAGTTTGGATTGAAGATAATCCGAATCCGCCGGATCTGGATTATTCGGAACACCACTATATATAAAGATACATAGTTATATAAAGCAATTTAATAATAATTCAAATATAAGTAATTACAAAATCGCTTTGTAATAATTATATAATCAAAATTATTAATTTACTTAATAATTTAAATTTAATTTTATAATTATATATAAAGAAACAAATTATATTAAACAAAATTTTAAATTTTTTATTGAAGCAAAAAAGTAGATTATTAAATACTGTTTATTATATATAAATAATATATATAATTTAATTAATAGGTTATATTATATTTGTTATTTATTACTTATGTTTTGTCTTTTACTATTAATCATTTATTTTAATATTTTTGTTTATATTAGAATATCTCTTTTCTATATCTAATAAGATAATTAATTGAAAACCAGTAATTATGTGTAAACAAACAGCATTTTATAATAAGCCAATGCTTTTTGTTCATCTTTATTACAAATTCATTTTGAAAGGTCTTTTACCTAATCTTGATAGCGAGTATAGTATTTAACTAATATTTTCTGTTTTGGTAATCAAAGCAATGTAGGTAGTTCTTTTAAAATCACAGGTCAAAAGATGGCAAACCAGGCACAAATCAGGTACTAATTTGTGCCTGGTTTTCTACCTTTTGACCTGTGGATATAAATCTAATTTGTGTTTAGAATATCAAACAACTTATTTCATGTGTCAATCTCTATATATCTATGAATAACTATCTAAGGTAATAAATGTTCTATGTATGAAAGGGATATATAGTAGTTATCCGGATAAACGCTTAATGGATTGGAACTCTAAGTACAGAGATAAAAATGAAAATGTGTTGCACGGCTAAGTTTGGAGTAAAAGCTTTATTGAACACTGCACCTAATTGTGAAAATCAATTGCAAAATCGATTGCCTTTGTTTAGAAGCATAGCCCTGCATTCCCAAATTTATTGTCCAGAGCGTAGCGATGGACCCTTAGTTTCTATGCAAAGTGATATAAAAGTTACGTTTTTGATACATCATAGTTACTTTTTGATGCAAATAACATAAAGATTACATCAGAAATTTAATTTGGTCACACGGGTGGACAGACAAAAAGTTGGTAAATTTGTAATTTGTGTAATAATATGATCACCATATGATGCGCTCTGGACCCATAATGCTATGCATTTTCCTATGATATATATACAATAATAACAAATATTAATAAATATATTGTTTACTATAAGTTTTGGGTATATTCTTAAAAAATAACAATCGATTTTCGATTGATTTCCACGTGCTAATCGTATTCTGACGACTTAGGTAACACCCACAAAAATTGTCCTACCCCATAATTTTTACTAAGAATAAAACCTCGTTATAGTTAGGGTTAAGGTGAGAACAGTGTAGGGTTAGGGTTGAAATATTAGTAAAATTCACGAGTAACATTTTGACTAGGCCGCAGAAGGTGGTTTCTTAATTAAAATGTCAAGTTATTTCAGTATTTTGTAAAAAAAAGTTTTCGCTTCGATTGTTTAGGTTACACTTGATCTTGAGTTTATACAGACATCGATAATTTGAAATACAAATTTCAAATTTGCTGTGAGTTGTCCATCATGCTGCGGACAACGGACAATAAACTCGTGCAAGAAAGTTCCCAAGGTTCCGTCGTGTATTATGACATTAAATAAAAATGGCAATTAATAAATTTATTATAGATTTTAGCTAGTATTACTAAATGTAGACTCAACTCCGGTGAATTCCGATCTGAAATTTTGGAAAGTTTAAATGGTTGTGATACTCGTGGAAATAGCCAAGATATTATGGCAGGTGCAGTGTGCAAAATAATTCGATCCTTTTTAATTTTTATCATTAATCTTTAATAATCATTATTATTAATCTATATGCAAACTACTAGATGAGTGCGCCAATGTACCTTTTCTAGCAAATTCGGGTTCTTTTTTAGCGAACTCATAAAAAACTGGATTTATCAGTGGATGACGAATATTTATAAAGTTAGTTCTAACCTAAATCTACTTTCCGTCATACTAACGGGTTTTTCCTTTAAATATGGATAAATATCAATGCAGATTGTGCATGTATACGTAATACGTACAACAAAGTATGTACGAACGTACGTACACATCACTCATACTATAAATGCATATATATTTACATGCGTTTAGTAAAAATTCTTGGCCTACTAAAAATTCTTTGCTTTGACGAGTTTTTTTTTTTCTAAACATATTAGTTAAAATGATGGCGTAAAAACAACCAATTTTGATCAGATATTTTTATAATATTGTGAAATGCATTGATGGTTTGACAAAATTTTTTAGAATTCTAAACATTAAAAAAAAAAATGAATGTCTGCTGACAGAACGTAAATTGGAATATTTTATACGCATAATAATTTTACTCGAATTAGTGCATTATATGATTGGCATCGCAATAATTGCTCTAATTATCATTACAGTATCATAAAATAAAATCGATAATGTGGTGGGTCCATGATTGCATGCTACTTTATCATACTAACAGGTTCGTAACCTAAATATGAATAACAGAGGCATTTAAAATTGGAATATGCTATATATATCTGTATATAGCTTATTTCGTTACTTTGCATTTATATATATTATACAAAATTAGCATTTCTTCATATATATTTATCGCTATAGAATTCTGAATTGTCCAGTACCGAATTTATAAACAACATGTGAAAACATACATAAAAGTTAATAGGTTATAAATTAATAATTAAAAAAAGAAAAAATTCGGATTAATACTACAAACTCTAAGGGAACGAATGGAAAGGGAAAACTGTATATGAGGTAATTAAAATATAGATGAAAAGATGGTTTATAGAGTAAGTTTTACATAACCAGAAATTTTTTAGATGATCCTCCGAACTCTATTTGTTCATGAAATTACACTGTATAACGCATACATGTCAAGAGAGGCTATATGTGTATAGAATTATACTTGATTTATTTTAGAGCCTCAAACTCAACCTTTATATTATCAGTGATGCCCTTTATTGTATTGATGTTCTCGATTCTATTTGATAGATTGTCTTATCACTGTCATACAAACTTCACAATACTTGCGAACTTTCTTTCTTCGAAATATTGATATTGTAGTACAATATTAAGCTAAACTTGATAAATTCAAAGCGCTCTTTAACTAAAGTCAAATGAATTTATACAAAATAAATGTTAATGACAATATGAAAAAAAGAATGGGATCGAAATAGAAATAAATAAATGATAAAGCTAATATTACCGTAAAACTCTGAAAATTAGGGTTGTGGGCATGGTGTCCCGGGGCATGCCTTCGTGCCAAAAAAGCATGCCCATATCATGTGATTATAAATGTCAATTACATGAAATTAAAACATGCTAATTGACTAACATAATGCCAATAAGAATATTTAGCATAGCATATTCATATTACTACAAACAAGTTAATCAGTAAGTTTTAGTGGATATATTATATTTTTTAGACATGGGTCTTTTTAGTCAGTATACTGTGGTTCTTTTATTAACTTATCGCGCTTATTTATAGTACTATAATATGGCATGTTATTATATAGGGGCATGCCCTAGGCACAATAAGAGATGCATGCCTTAGCTTAGGGCATGCCCAAAATTTTTTCCGTACCCACAACCCTACTGAAAATAAGCACCTACAGTAAATAAGCACCCTCATAATAAAAATTTATGTTCCATAAATAAGCACCGTCAAAATCAACTTTAAATTACGTTACCCGGTGATCACAAGATTAATCAATACAGAGTTAGCATGTTATCTATTTTCAAATAATTAGTAAATTAATCAATACAGAGTTAGCATGTTATCTATTTTCAAATAATTAGTGAATGAGCACTTCCATTAATTAAAAAAATAGTGCTTATTTTCAGAGTTTTACGCAATTAAAATATTTTATATTTATAATAATAGATTAGAGATGCTATCTGACCAAGAGATATTTTCATAAAATTAATATGTTAAATCAACAGATAATAGATTGCAGATACATATATATATATATATTGATTTTCGATTTCAATTTAACATAAGCATGCCTTTAATAGCATTTAATTTAACTCTAACCCTCACGTTATTGTTGTTTTTTTTTTCTAAAAGATAAATTCCAATAAAGTGACCGATTCACAACGCATAAAATCGGATTATGATGAAATTTGGGGTCTCCTTTTGAAAATATAAACCTACTGAAATCTACTTATACTCTTTTCTAAACAACTCTAACCCTAAATTCTAACCTGTCACTAAAAAAAAAAGCTAGGATAATAGACTCTAAAAAATTCTAAAATTTCATATTAAATTAGGTCCAAATTTCACAATCATCCGATTTCAGATCATCAATGACAATTATTATAACTTTTTAGGATCCAAGTTTAATCCGTTTCAAATTCAAGCTTTAGATATTTAACAGGAATTATTATTATAATTACCTTGTGATAAATTAGTAGTACCTTGTATATTTGTGTGTTGCCGATAAAATGTAAAGTCGGTGAGGGTAAAAGAGGTAAGGGGGGTAAAGAGGGGATATAGGAGGGTAAAAAGGGGTAGAGGAGTGGGGTATCTCTTTTCTGTCAGCTCCCTAAACCAATTTTCACTCTGATGTTATATGATCTAATTGGTCAGTACAGTAACGTAATTTGCAGGTGGCTCTAGACTTTATTTTTCATTGGAAAATTTCTCATTTCAGTAAGTTTAATCAATAATTGTCATAAATATTCTATCAATTTAATCGAATAAGCAATAATGTCTGAATGAATTTCTTGTATGTTCTTTGCGTTTCTTGAATTGGATATATATATTTTTTTGAACCAATGCCTTAATAAAAAACACGGTATGTACGCATATGCATATTGTTTGATATCATCTCCATGGAATTAATTTCTAAATTAGTTCATAAAACAAACACATGATAAGTGATAATTATCAACAATGTTTTTAATTCGAAGAAATTATTTTATTTTTATTTTTTATTTTTTAAAAACTTTGCCAAGAAAAACAAAAATTTAGATATTTATAATTTTGTATAGAGTTATAGAGAAACTTTTTGAATTACAGTTTTTATGATTTAAAGTTAGAGTGAATTTTTTTATAGGTGGCTAAATTTTCTCTATACTTAACAAAGGTCAATTTTTAAAAGTTTAAATAGTTTCCAAAAATATCGTTTAAAATTAAACTTAATTTATTTTTGCCTAACATAAATACATAAGAATCATCGAGTCGCACACGTGCTTAATATTTCTATTTACACCGCTAATTTATTTGTAGCCTATCACATTAAAGTTTTTCGATTATATCTTTAGATTTTTTTTTTTTCTATTAAAAGAAATTTAACTTTGAAAGAAACTTTTTAGCTAACTTTAAAAAGTACAATACGATTTGTTATTTTAAAAATTTTTTATTAATAAAAATAGAAGTAATCTATTTGTGGAATATATATAATGATTTATTTTATCAGGTCTCATTTCCAAATTAAGTTTCTCAATACGATTATATATGCCCCCCTTGTTTTGGCGCTTGCTTAACTATAAGCAATTCAGCAATTTGATGTGGGATCAACAGCGTGCATTATTAATGAAAATAGCGCAGTAATAATATAATCTGTAATTTTGGATAAGATTTTCTTTCACAAACTATTAATAGGATTTTCAAGGATAAAATTACATATCATGTGATAATTTATATGTTGACTCGTTCAAACGCTATTTCTTAAATAACAGAATTTTTATTTCGGAAAAGAAATTTATTAATAAATGTTTCGATGCCGAATTACGTTTATTTTATATATAATTTAAAAGGATAAATTTTATCAGAAATTATGCATTAAATGCATTTTAGTCAACAAAATACGATGTAAGTACTATTAAGCTCAGATTGAAAATATGCTTTTATGGAACATACCCGCTTTTTATCATGATTATCATTAAATAAATTTATTATGCATTGCGTATTTTTAGGACAAATCACGAATAAATAGCATTTGAGATGTTATAAATGTCGACGAGAAAAACAATATAAAAATATCAATCAAATGCTTCTTCATCCTTTTATCATCCTTAGAATTACTTAGAGTTTACTTACTTAAAAATTTTATTTCATAATACATTCCCCAATAATGTTACAAAGGGCGAATTTTATTCTAATTTTCGTGTTAATTTACATTACAACTCTCATCATAATTGCACAATGTAAGGACAATAAATCGTGATTTTACAGTATATAGATCGTGTTTTTTTAACCCACTTAAATAATATTCTCTTTCTTTTTTCCTTATAGGTCGTAAGTATTGTACTCATCTGAGTAATAAAATCTTTACAATTTATTAACGCGATTTTATTAACACACTCAGATTGTAAGTAGGATCTTTGTAGAATTAGCCCTTTAAAGAACCAATCACCTGACAATTCATAAATTGTTCAATGACTTGTCAAGCGATTAAACATGTGACTTTTCAAGCGGTTAAAACATGTGATTTTCAGTGGTTAATCATTTTTTTCTAATTATAACAATAATAACAATAATTTAACTATAATTTAAATCTATACCTTTCTGAATCTACCAGTTTGTAAGTTTTATTTATCATTATATATATATTTTTTAAAAAAAAATTCATAACAAGTCGTTTATAATATGTTCTTAACAAAGTGGATCCATTAATTGAAAGAAGAGAAAGACAAAAATCTATTAATAATAATAATCGAAAAAGATCTATAAAAAATAAGCGCGACGAAATACGCTCTGCTCATGCAAGGAGCTATTATTTTGCTAAACATTTTAAAAGGTATTATTTATTAAAAGATTTTTTAATTGTGTAAAAAAATTAAGGTTTTTTTTTAATGTTAATACTGTAATACTTTTATTTCATCATTAAATTAGCTTCGATGATGAAAAAAATGTAAAACGGTCTGACGATAAATCAAAACGAACAGTAACAACGAGTCCAAGTAACTTATTTTTGCTTTATAATGATTTATAGTGTTTAATATCATTTATAATATTTATAATATTTATAATTGTTAACAAAATTAATATATATATATACTTATTTAGAAATATGTATTGTTGGTGCGGGACTATCTGGTACATAATTTATTTTAATAAAATATTTTATAATTATGTGTGTAATTAATTTTCACAAACTCTTATTTCTCTTTAGGACTGTTCTCGGCCCTTCTTTTGAAAGAGGCCGGTATTAAAGATGTAACTATCCTTGAATCTTCTGATCGCGTTGGAGGACGTGTTTATACTAAATACTTTACTGCGGATGCGAATGATGATAAACGTTTATATGCTGAACTTGGATCAAATAGATTTCCTATTGTTGAGGGTCATCCTGAACTTTCTCAACATCAATTAGTTTATGATACAATTGCTCATCTGAACGATTACAATAAAGTTAATAATCCAGATAGTGTAATGACTCTTACTCCATTTTCAACTTTCGATAAAAAGTATGTTATTTATAATTACGTTTATCTTAAAATTTTTTGAATATATGAAGTTACTAATCCTATTATATTTTTTTTATATGCTATTTAAATAAAAAGTGCTTTATATTACTTTAATGGAAAAAAAGATGCAAATGGCAGTATAATAACCAAAGGCATCGCTTTTGGTGGTGCTAAACCTACTGCCTTAGGATTTCCTGATTCAGTCCCTGATAATTTTCTTGACATGTGGGATGATGCATTAGCTCCCTTTTTTGACTTACTTGATAAAAATTTCACAAATGGAATTGAAACTTTAAAACTTTATGATCAATTTTCTGCTTATGATTATCTAAAAGATATTTATTTTCCAAGAAAATTACCACAATCTATGGCTCCTTATGAAGAAGTAATGAAAGCGATTGAAATGAACGTTCTAGGAACTGGTATGTAGTTTGTCATTATTTTATTTACTTATAAATAATAAATCCTTTTTTTCTCATTTTTGAAATAAACATAAATTTGAATTTATCTTAGGCATTTTTAGTAGTTATGGTTTCGTTGACCTTGCTCTTAATGAATATGCTTTTGGCAGTCCTAACCTTAATATAAGCTGGAAGTCAATTGATAAGGGAATGCAACGATTTCCTAACGCTTTCTTACCAATGATCCAAGAAGAAAATTATAAATTAAATTATAATAGTGAGGTTTATAAAATAGAAATGGGTATAAATCAAACTGTTAATGTATATTGGAAGAATGGTGATACAACATCATCTGAAGTATTTGATAGAGTAATTGTTACTGCTCCTTTGGGTAACGTTTATCATTGGGAAATTCCTCAAGGTAAATATTCTTTAAAAAAATATTTTATTAATATATATATATTTTATATATATATATATATATATATATATACATATATATATATATATTATATAACTACTTACATTTTTTACTTAACTACATTTTAACTTTTTCAACTTAATTAATTACATCTTTATAATAGCATTCACTTATTATAAAAAACGAGCAATTCGAGAACTTACGTGCATGAATGCTGCAAGAGTATTTCTTCAATTCAAATCTCGATTCTGGGAAGAATCTCCTCTTGTAACTGGTGCACCTAACACGAGTACCAATCTTGGAATTACCGGTGGCGCTTCTTCTACTGATCTTCCTATTAGATTCGTTGTGTACCCTTCACAATATAAAGGTCTACCTACAAATAGCTCTGCAATTCTGTTAGCATCTTACGTATGGGACAGTAGTGCTACAAAATTTAGTCCGTATACAGACGATGAATATTTCGAAGCCGTATTAAAAAATTTAGTAACACTTCATGGTGATATAGCAAAAACAGAATGGGTTTCAGGTTCTGAAAATAATATAGCTTTTAATTGGGCACAATATAAACATTCTATTGGTGGTGCCTTTGCTTTGTTCTCAGCTGGACAAATTGATGATTTATTAGGTGCTATAATGAGACCTGAAATTTCTGTTCATTTTGCTGGTGAACATACTGATATACAAACTGGTTGGATGGTTGGCGCTCTTAATTCTGGAGTTAGAGTTGTTAAAGAGATATTACTAGCAAATGGTATGGATAGTCAATGGGCGACACTAAAAAATTCGACATTATTAAAATACTGGAATGGACAACTTGATTTTAAAGGCTACTTTTAAAAATGTATATATATATATTTCTTAAAAAAGTTAGATTTATTATAGTGAATAAACTTTGTTTATAGTATTTAGTTGTGTAATCTATTTCAAATTACAGTATATCATTTATCGTTATACTTGTATTAATCAACAATTATAAGTTTTATTAGTTTTATTTGAAATTTCTTTATTTTATTTTTTGTTTTTTTAAAAAAAAACATTGTGATTTTAATTAAATCACGGGATATACTGATATAGAGTACGCAAGTACGTACGTATATACGTGCATATTGTAAATTTGTAAACGATGTAAAAATTCTCTTTAAATACCTTCAATTTTAGTATAATTAATAAATTTACAAATATTTGAAGTCTATGAATAATAAACTCAACGATTATTCTTTGGCAGGACTGTAACCTCCACAAGTTAGCTAAATCATCATCATTGCTATCCAAATTATTGCAGTTTGCAAAAAAAAGTGAAATTTGCAGATCAAAAAAAAAAAGAAATTGATGATTTCTGATTCTGATGACATATGTATATCAACTAATATGGTTTTACTAATTTACCCCCCACTCTCTGATTGGGCGGCGATCTCCCTATTTTTGATTGGACAAATTTGTATATCATCACAGATCCTGTGGCGCAGATCCTATTAATAAATTCGAAAGTTTTTTAAAACTTCTAGCGATGATTTCTTAATAACTAGTTGACCAAATTCATTAAATTTTTTTTTATTTTAATTCAATAGTTTTGTAGAATTAAAATAAAAAAAAAGTTCATTAAATTTAGTTCAGTGGTTATCAAGAAATAATTGCTAAAAGTTAAAAAAAAAAAAAAATTCGAAGAAATTGGATAAATTTTTTTCTTTGAAATTTAAACAAAGATTTTTTGACAACCAACTATTTAAATTTGATAAAAAAAAAAAAAATCATTTTGATTCTTTATTCATAGAATTAAAATAAAAAAATTTTGGTCAAATTTGAATAGCAGGTTGTTGAGAAATATTTATTACAAGTTAAAAAAAAAATTGGGCGCAGCTTCTTTTTTAAAGACATCTAAGCTTTGAATGAAGATTACTCAGCACTTACCTAGTCAAATTTGATCAAAAATTTTTTATTTAATTCTATAAGCATATATGAATTAAAAAAAAAACAGTTGATCGAATTTGACCAGATAAGTGCCAAATAATCTTCGTTTAAAGTTTAGATGTCTTTAAAAAAGAAGCTGCACCCAATTTTTTTTTATTTTGAATGAAAATTACTCAGCACTTATCTGGTCAAATTTGATCAAAATTTTTTTATTTTATTTCTATAAGCTTATTGAATTAAATAAAAACAAATTGATTGAAATTTGACTAGATAAGTGCCAAGTAATTTTCATTCAAAGTTTAGATGTCTTTAAAAAAAAAGCTACACCCAAATTTTTTTTTACTTTGAATGAAGATTACTCGGCACTTACCTAGTCAAATTCATTCAAATTTTTTTTATTTTATTTCTATAAGTTTATAAAATTAAATAAAAAGCAAATTCATCAAATTTGACCAGGTAAGTGCTGAGTAGCCTTCATTCAAAGTAAAAAAAATTGGGCGCAGCTTCTTTTTTAAAGACATCTAAACTTTGAATGAAGATTACTTGGCACTTACTTGGTCAAATTCAATCAATTTGTTTTTATTTAATTCTATAAGCTTATAGAAATAAAATAAAAAAAATTTGATCGAATTTGACTAGGTAAGTGCCTCATTCAAAGTAAAAAAAATTTGGGCGTGGCTTCTTTTTTAAAGATATCTAAACTTTGAACAAAGATTACTCGGCACTTACCTGATCAAATTTGGTCAAATTTTTTTTATTTTAATTCTATAAGCTTATAGAATTAAATAAAAACAAATTAATTGAATTTGTCCAGGTAAGTGCTAAGTAATTTTCATTCAAAATTAAGATGTCTTTAAAAAAGAAGCTGCACCCAATTTTTTTACTTTGTAGTATTTTATTAATTTCGAGCATTTTGCTAAATTACTTATATTGGGCCGTTCAATATACTATATAAATCAAAATTATATATGATTATACAACTTTTTTAATCAAATATTTTTAAGATTTTTTTAGATATATGGATAAAATTTTTTTTTTATCCAAAGCCTTGATACGAATTGATTCTTTGTTGCTACTAGAAATGTTAAACTGTTTGAACCAGTTTATAATAATATTTCTAATTATCACTATTACAAAGTTACAGAACTATTTTAATATTTTATATGAAAAATAAAGTTTTTGATCTATTTTACTTGCACGTATTACCTAAATTGCTTAGAAGAATTATCAAATTAATTGCTTTGTAACTCTGAAACTACAATTTTTGGCTATAAAGTTATATATCTAATTAAAAATTGTCGAGCTCATAAATCATACAAATGTAAAATATTTGAATTAAGTTTTTTGTATATAACCTTGATTTACATAATTGATAGGTATAGTGAATACTCTAACTTTATATGCCCAGATAATTTTCACCATACTAGAACTTAAATGTGCATATATATGTATCGAAGAACAAAAAATTAGAAATTGTTTTGTTTTTTTAACTTTGCATTAGGTGCTATTTGAGAAATTCTTGGCTTATCAACTTGTGGCACAGCCTCAATCCTGGTAATTCTTGCCCTTTCAATTTGTGCAGTTCGCTGAAAGGCTTCTTGCAGGCTACGAATATCTTGACCCTTTTTTTTCTTCCATTCATTAACAATTGCAGCAAGATTCTCTTGCAATTTGATAATTTTAATATTTCTATTATGCGTTTCAGTATTTGCTTAATTAAAAAAAAATAAATAAAATGTAAAATTACTATTACAGATTTAAACAATTTTGAAGTCAATTTCTTACCATTTTTAAAAAACTCTCTCCATTGATCACTAAAACCAAATCTGGAGCTAAAGAAAAAACAAAGTTTGACAGGTCCTTTATTAAAACAACAATAGAACTAGCTCTAAGCTTAAGAATAGAACACAAAAAAATAACTGGAGTTTCATAGAACAACTTTGATCACTACACTCCCAAAAACACACTTCTTGGAAAATTTCTAGACCTTTGACAAAATTTTCAAAACTTTTCTAAAAATTTGGGGATTTACTGTTGACCCTGTATTGCAGATCGCAATCTGACAAACAAACAAACACGTCCACTTTAGGCAAACAAACAAACAAACCAATATTTGTAGACAATTAATCAACACAACAAACAAACACGTGTATTATCGAAACAACAACAAAAACAAATACTACGTGTAAAATGCCTAACCTTAGTATATATAAAAACTTCTTTAATAAATCTGAAACTGAAAGAGCAGTAGTTCAAAAAGAACAAAATGAATTTATATGGGAACAAGATAAAAAAGTTGCAAAATTTTTGGGCACAAGCGAAATCTATCTTATCACAATAATTCGCAACGTTTTACAACACTTCGACTACGCTCAATACAAGTTATCAAGGGATCAAACTCTAGAAGAAGAGGAAAAAGTCCTACTAGAATTCCCAACCAACAATTCTATACAAGTAAAGAATACAAAGGAAAACTACTCGCAAGAAAGCAATATCAGAGTTAAAATCGAATCTTCTTTAATGGAGGACTTAATTGTACATCCATCAGTGTTCCACAAAGCAACCAACATCGACATGGAATATGAGAGTAAGCTCAAGACAGTGACAAATAATAATGAAGTTAAAGTGAAGCCACTCCCAATGGAAACTACTCCAGCAACACCATCTATTGAAACTAAGAGCACTGTTAACAACATAGAATTAGAAATACAGGACAACCCTCGTAAGAGAAATATAGCAGAACAAGAAGTACAAACACCTACCCCAAAAGACCACCAGGAACTAGTTAAGGATATGCTAGTTAAAAAAGAGTGTGGT